TATTTTAAGTGCCATGTCATACTTACATTTTATTTTAGTATATGCATTAGTATAGATATACATATTATTGCATAACGCTGCGGACGGCCAGGTAAGCTTCAAGTGAGTACATATTGGTGATAGTGATTTCAGTGTGTATGGTTATGTTTATATGCATTTAGTGCTCATTATCCTGCATCCCGATGTTAGTGCTCCGCCTGAGGCCAGAGCTTAGCCTTCACGTGATCGTTCACCTCCCGCACCACACGCTCACATTGGATCCAAGGCAGATGCCAGCCTGTTGTACAGACCACATTAGGTGGTTCCGACTCGTAGGTGACTTGCGATACTTCGCACAGCCTTCACGTGATCGTAGCACTTGAGCATATCTATTTACACTAAGCCTGTAATACAGACCACAACAGGTGGTTCTAACTCAGTGCATGAATTGGTTATGAGCTATAGGTTTAGCCGTACAAGTCACGTTAGGTGACTCCGACTGACATATCATTTTATATTGATTCACATCACCTGGTTTACATTTCTATTATTGAGATACTTGATATGGCACTTACCTTGATTTTCATTGCTCACGAACCTAATTTCTATATACGTATGTATTATTATTTTCTGGAAAATTATACAGGTTTTACGGTGAGGGGTTATTATTTTTGGAAAGAGAAATGGTTTTAAAAAACTTTGTTTTTACCCACTCACGTTTTCTGTTTTGCACTCCTTCAGGTTTTGGTTGCTAAATGTTCGTATTGACAAGGATTCTTAGCGAATCTCAGTATAGATGGCTATCTTTGAGGGTATGTTCCTTACCCACATTACTGTACTTTACTTATGCTTTGACATCGCATGTGAAATGGGTTCATTCCCGCTCACAGCGCACTCTTGTCTTTAGACATTATTAGGTTTAAATTTATTCACATTTTCCACATCACTATACTTTATGGCTTTGTCACCTTCCAGATGTCGGCCATCACATCTTGATTCAGAGTCTTAGTAGATATTTCGGGTCGGGGTGTGTCATTTAAAATATATCAATAGTTATTTCTTAAACTATATTAATAATTATGTGGGTGCATTATTTTTTTGTTAGAGCCATGTGGAGAACAACATTACTTTATTATTGATTTTCAAGTAATAATAATATACATATTGTAAAAATATTATTTGAATTTGTTTAAATTTCATAATTTGTGGGATATTAAATGAACAAATGCATGAGTTAAATTCCTTAAATGATGCTAGAGACCTCAATCAAACTATTTTAACAAATAAGGTTTCATTATAATAATTAGGTCGACTAGAGATTTGAACCAAAATTACCCTAAAAAAAATTATAGTTTTTTTAGAAAACTAGATATTAATTCTTGAAAAAGATTTAGTGTAGACAAATACCGTATGCAAGATTAACAATTGAATTAAGTCCCTGACCAACGTCAACCTACATAATTCCACATTAGTTGTCATTTTTCCTTTGTTATTCTTCCAATTATACCCTTTTGTGAATGTTTGTAATGAACTCTTTTTTTGTTAACAATCACATGACATAGTTTATTATAGCTTATTTTTAGGATGTATAGTTTTTTTTTTTTTTTTTTCATTCATTTCAAACTTATTTGGTCATTTCAAGAAATAGTAATCACTAAAAATATCTCCTCAGGTGGAGCTAGGTAGCAATTAGGAAAGTGGAGGTACAAGGAGGCATTGTGGAGACAGCAATTAACAGGATACACGATGGTACCTGAATTAATTTCACTAGGTTTGTCTTAACAAGCAAAAGTATCTCATATCAGGCAGGGAATTGAACGTTAGATTACTTTATCCCTCCAAATTCTTCTCGGCATACTTGCGGAAAAAGAACCCCAACAGTTCAAGAATAAGCCTGTGGAAAGTTACTTCTTCAAAAGAAAAAATATTCATATCACATTTTCTCTTTTCTTCTCTTTATCCTTCATGCTACCTGCAAGAATAAGGAGAAGGATACAATCAGCCGGAACTCGAAATCAAAGTTCTGATCTGGGACTCCTTGCTTGGAGCTCTGATTGCTTACCTTGTATGTCACCTCTTTCAGCAGATCCCCTAGCTCGGCGACTTGGGGGACTCCTACTACATGGTTTGTATCGCGCGCTTGACCAAGCCTGAAACTACAAGTAAGCGTCAAGTGAAATTGATACATTACCTTGTGCATCTCCACCAATTAAAGATACCACCCCTGGAGGGAGGAAGAGTACTTCCAAAGAAGATGTCACATCTACCTATGAGACAGATAAGGCAAGTGAAGACGATACCACACTTCGGTACTTAAAAGTTTTCGTGATTACGAGATCATTCTTCCACAATATTTCCTAATGTCATTTGTACTAAATCATTCACTTGTACTCACTAAATGAGCTTGAACCTATATACTGTGTAAACCCTTCACAATTAATGAGAACTCCTTTACTCCGTGGACGTAGCCAATCTGGGTGAACCACGTACATCTTGTGTTTGCTTCCTGTCTCTATCCATTTACATACTTATCCACACACAACTAATGACCGGAGCAATATAGCGGAAGATCACAAACTTAATATTTAAGATGATATTCTTTGGTGTATGCTTTTCGCAAACGATATAGTGTTGATAGATGAAACGTAGGAAGGGGTAAACGCGAAGCTTAACCTTTGGAGAGAAGTGTGTTGGAATCTAAAGGTCTTCGCCTAAAGCCGATCAAAGACAGAATATATGGAGTGCAAGTTCAGTGCAAACGGAGAGGCCAAAATGAGTTAGGGGTGAGGATAGGATCAGAGATCAGGAAATACCAAAGAGCGACCATTTTCGCTACCTAGGATCTATCTTCTTGCAAAAGAACGGAGAATTTAATGGAGAATCTCACCCATAGATACAAGCTGGATGGATGAAGTGGAAGAGTGCATCTGGCGTGTTGTGTGACCGTCGTAGGCCACTGAAGCTCAAGGGAAAATTTTATAGGACGGCAATAAGGCCGGCAATGCTGTATGGCATAGAATGTTGGGCGGTGAAGAATCAACATAGTGTAGTGTGGAGATGATGAGATGCTTCGTTGGATGTGTGGGCACACGAGAAAGGATAAGATTAGGAATGAGGATATCCGAGGTAAAGTAGGAGTAGCCGAAATTGAAGGAAAGAGGAGAGAAAATCGGTTACGGTGGTTTGGACATGTGCAAAGAAGGCCTACTGACGCTCCGGTTCGAAGATGTGACCACGGGACAGAGGTTCAGGGCCGAAGGGGTAGAGGAAGACCTAGGAAAACTTTTGAAGAGACCCTAAGAAAAGACTTATGGCGTGTTTACCAAACGGGAATGAGGTAAGTGGAATTGGAATTGCATTCCTTCAAATGCATTCATGTGTTTACTTGTATATAGGGAATGAAAACAAAGGTGGGGTCCACCCGAAATGGGGAATTCAATTCTGGATTTGCCCGGAATCCGATTACCAAGATATAGGTGGTAATTGAATTCCGGAAGAAAAGGTCCATCAGTAATCGAACTTTTCTTCCTAAAGTGCCCTTGTACTTCTTTTTATATCCTAAAACACTCATGCAGCTTCAACACTCTTCTCTCTCAGTGGACTCCCTGCAACTTCTTCTCCGATTTCTCTTCGTTCCGCGACTTGAGACTGGAGCTTTCAAGGTCCATCTTCCTCCTTGCCTTTAGTCAGCTGTTGTTTATCCCAAACCTGATTCATGTCCCTATTTTTGTATATTCTCATTTCGACTCTTCGATCCGCCGACTTTATGGTTAAAAACTCATTCACTGCCTCAATTGGGAAACTCAAAATTGGGGTAAAAAAAAAAAGGTTGGGACATGGAGGGAGGGAGCATGAAGGGTTCTTCGCAAACGTGAGGTAGGTTGGCAGCAGAGAAAGATATTTTAGAAAAGAGTAGGTCGGCAGTACTTTGGTAGCAGAGAATGATGGGGAAATTTTAGAAATGGGAAGGTCGGGAAGGACGGGGAAGAGAGGGAGAGACCGAGGGTCACAAAAAAAATTGGAAAAATTAAAGAATGAGAAGAAAGAGTTTCTGGGAAATTGAAGTTGCAAAGTTTCTAGATGGTTTTGGAATTGTGAATGAGAAGAACAAATACTAAAAAAATAAAAATAATGAAAGATAAAAGTTTTAAAATAATTAGCATAGAAAATAGATTAGTTAAACTAGGGGTATTTTAGTAATCACATCAGTTTTCATTCCGATTCAAGTGAATTAGTAAACAGTTTATATGGATCAATGTCATTCTTACTCCGATTCCAGACAGTTTTAGTAAACAAGTTCAACAGTAATCTTATTCTGATTCCACCTCAATTCAATTCCTTCTCAATTCAATTCTTCTCAACCTGATTACGGATTAGTAAACGTGCCATTAGAGTACTTGGATCTAACGGAGGACATGACACAAAACCGAGCGCAATGGCGTTCTAGGATTCATATAGCCGACCCCACTTAGTGGGAAAAGGCTTTGTTGTTGTTGTTGATCTGTACTTATGACAAAAATGGTTAATTTAATAATTGTCCATGTAATTTGGCACTTTGGGAGCTTATTTAGGAAGATCATTTGGGACTTTGACTTCTATGATAGTTGATCATCACTAAAAAGATTTCTTATATCCTGATACGGATGCGATCTTGTGTACTGTACGATTAACTTTATTTCAATTGTATAATTTCAAATTTCATTCACTTCTGTTCGAATAACTTTGTTTCCACAATCAAAGTGCACTGTTCAACTGTATTAGAAAATGGCCTTTGTTGATTTACTTTTTGCAAGCTTAACATGGTCTTCAAATTCATGAGTTGCATTTTGAAGTAGCATTACAACATATCTGGAGATTTTCTTACGAATGTCGTACTTTCTGATTTTCTTGATCTGCATAGCTGTTGTTGTATGCTCTTTACTCATCTTGTTCTTGAATTTACTTTGTCCTGATTTTGTTGCAGGTCACATTGACTGGTTCCATTTGATGTGGTGAGCTGTTTGTATCTCAGCCCAGCAAACATGAAGAGAGAAAATACAGTCACTGCACATGTTAGAGAACTTCCTGGTAGAATAACACGTGCTCGAGCTGCTTCACTTCATACATCTGGACATATTCCCCCACCTAAACCACCCTCACAACAGAGTCAGAAGCAGGCTTTGCGGACAAATTCAAAGAGAGCTGCCACGGATGAGAACATTACAAACGCTACTGGTAATGCATGTATCCAACGCAAGAGGAGGGCAGTACTTCAGGATGCGACCAATGCTTTCTGTAAACCTTCATATGCAAACTGCTTCAATGCAACTAAAATTAAGGTCAATAGCCGGTTAGTTAGATTTTTTTCATAATAAGTATTCAGGTTTCCTCTTAAATGTTGTGGAAATACAATAATACGCTTGGTTTATGCTAGTGTACGGCTAACTTTAGTTTTCAGAATGTTAAGCAATTTTAGAAGGCTGAGAAAAAGAGATGACTTGCTATTCTTTTAATTTTTCATAACATAGTAAGCATGAAGGACTGTTTCCAGAATTAATTTCCACTTGTCACTTGTCACTATCTTGTAGCAAGGTTTAGTAAGCATATATGTCTGTGTATATATATACACATCATGACGGCTTTGCACTTTTTTATTTCTCTGCTCAAGAATCTGAATTCTGCCTCTAATTAACGCAGGCTAAGAACAATAAGCCAACTAAAAAGGGTCAGGCAAAGCTGATGGAAATGGCCTCTTCCGTTGCTGGAGATTCAAAAACCGAGGTTTTGGACGGAACAGTCAAGCTAGAACTTAAATCAGACGAATTTTGGTGTACAATTAATTTGGAAGATGGCAACAGATTTATGAGGTCAACTAAGGATGTGAAAGATATTAATCAGTTGGAGAATCAGATTTCTGGAGTGGCTCCAAAATTCCAAAGCCCTTCGTATAAAGGTTTGCATTTCTTTAGTTTTCTCTTTTCCAAACATGACAAATCATTGCAAACTTGAGTTGAAATGCAACAAAAGAGTAGCACTAGATAGGAGTTTGTATATCAATGTATGTCAGTTTTGAAGCATGAAATGTGTCCACACCCTTTCTTGTGGCCCCTTTATTTCCGTTTCACTTACTCATAATGCACAAAGGATAATAGGCTGATAAATAGCATCATTAGACGTCACTTTTCTGATTATATGTGATTAGACCATAATTCCGTAGTTCTTATGTACTAAGGGGCTTAAGGGCTATATGAGCTTGGAAGGCTTTATATGAGGAGGATTCATGATCAAATATCTGGTTGTTTCTCCTATTAGGAATGAGGCCATATGCAGTAACCACTACAATAAAACAAAATCATATTTTTACTGTAAATACAAATCCACGCTAAAAGCTTAAACAAATATAGACCAGAATGTTTATATTTTTTAAACAGCAATATTGAGGGAGGGAGGGGATTGAACCTACGACCTCGGGGTGCAAGGGTAAATGATCTTAACTACAAGCAACAAGCCCCTTGTAAACATACTAGAAGGTTTGATTGTGTACTGCTTCTGTTCATGCCAGTTATAGCTGACTTGGTTTCAGAAGAATAAAAACTGAAGATAAAATGGGAGTATGGAAAAGTCCTTGACAATTAAACCAGTTATTAGATAACAATTAGAAAGAAGAAAAGAAGTTGTGTTTCAACATGATTTACAAATAAGCATTCTATACATCTTTTCCTTTGCTAATATTATGCTTCACCGTGTGTGCTAACCTTATATGGCTCTGTCATTCTGAAGACAGTTGACCCATGTCAAAGCAATACAATACTTTTCTGAGCTACTTTGGGTGCTAGATGCCAAATGATAATGTTTCTTTTAAGGATATTCTATGGCTTTGGTGTGCAGTAGTTTATCACCTTTAGCATTAAATTGTTGCAGCAGATAATGGTAGTCTTTCAGCAGACATGGTTACGTCAAGCAACCAGCCTATTGTTAACATTGATGCGGATTACAAGGATCCTCTTTTGTGTAGCCTCTATGCCCCTGATATCTATAACCATTCAAGTGTTGCAGAGGTTTGTGTCGTTGAGTGTCGATATTATTTTTTTATGTACACCAGTTCCCTTTCTAGTAGCACCAGTATTTCATTCTAAATACATTAGAATGGTTAATTAATCAATTGGATACCTAAGCGACTCGGTTATATATAAAGATGATGTGCAGCAAATTATTTTGTTTAACAAGCATAACTACCTGAAACCACAATGACATAGTGCACTTCAGATACATATGAATATCTGATACATGATTCCCGAGAAGCTGTATTATTCATAAGAATGTTGTTTTGTTTAGAGGAATGCCTTGTACAGGTTAAAACATTTTTATTCCTTTAGCCTTCTTTTTTTGGTGATAGATCAGTCATAAAGGATATTAGAGGTGGTTCCTTTCCACAGTGTGGAATACATGCAAAGGGAACATAACCGGAATTTTTCCGTTCAAATAGTCTTTTGATACCAAAATGAAAACTATTTATAGATGCTGTGGGAAGAGAACATAATGTATTCAAGTGGGATAGGTTACAACTTCATCTTTAGTACGAAACATGTAAAACAAATTTCTGTTCCTTATACCAGCTGCCCAAGTCTGATATATTACTCAGGTGGACAGCCCCTCGCATAAAATACATTAAGCTGAATTGTGAAGTGAAGTTGTACCCATCTCATCTTTATAAAGGCACAAAAGGTTCTCTTAAAGGAGGTGGCACCTAAGAAAAAAACCATTTTGAAGCTATTATTTTTAGTCTGTCTAAGCCTTTTGTGATATAGCGCTGTGTTCTGGTATAGATACTAGTCTGTCATAAGCTTTAACTAATTAGAAACATAAATAATTGGTTGATTTATGAATGGTAATGCAGTTCTGTGCTAAGCTACAATGGTATTTGGACTCAGTGCAATTCTTGGCGCAAGAAAAAATCACAAACCTATTGAAATGCATGTGATCTGTTGCACTCATTTCGTTTCCAACATGGAGATTGCACACAGTGTTGGTGGCTTTGAGCTTTCATTTTTCTATCCTCTGTTCCTCTGTGTGAAAACTGGATTTTTTTTTTTTGTTTTGTTTTGACAGCTTGACAGAAGGCGACATGCCAGTTTTATGGAAACAATACAGCAAGATATCACCAAAAGTATGAGGGGGATTTTAATCGATTGGCTTGCGCGCTGTGTGGCCCGAGCACAGTGATAAGTGAGCAAGGGTCGCTGTATCTCCATAGGCACCCGGATGCAGTGTTAAATGAGCAAGGGGGCCATAGAAACTTCTTTTCGAACGACTCCACTCAAAGTTGTTTGGGAGCATATGCACCTATCAACTTTACACGGGACACACAAAAGAAGTACTTTGATTCCATTGGACGGGGGAGGGTGAAGAAGCTAGGACAGAAGGGTAGAGTTCAGGAGAGAGAAAAATGCGTTTAGGAACGTGGAATATAGGAACCTTAACGGGAAAATCTATGGAAGTAGTGCAAGTTATGGTGAGGAGAAGGATAAATATTAAGTGCCTACAAGAAACTAAGTGGGTTGGTCTTAAGGCAAAGGATCTAGAAAACTCAGGGTTTAAACTTTGGTATTCGGGCACAAATAGAACGAGAAACGGTGTTGGCATCATCGTGGACAAGACCTTGACACAAGATGTTGTAGATGTCAAGAGGGTAGGAGATAGAATCATGGCAATCAAGATTGTAATAGGACAAGAACTTATCAATGTGATTAGTGCGTACGCACCTCAAGTAGGGTTGGATACGAGTTCGAAGGAGAAATTTTGGGAAGACCTTGGAGACTTGGTGCAAGGAATTGCTCAGACGGAGAAGTTATTTATAGGAGGAGATTTAAATGGACACGTGGGCAGGGAGACAGGCAACTATGGAGGTTTTCATGGTGGCCATGGTTTTTGGGGAGAGAAACGAGGATGGGGAAGCTATCTTGGATTTTGCAATGGCATATGATCTCTTCTTAGCCAACACCTTCTTTAAGAAGAGAGAAGAACATGTGATCACCTACAAGAGTGGGTCGTCAAAAACACAAATAGATTTTCTTCTAATGAGGAAAGGGGATCGTATAACTTGTAAGGATTGCAAAGTTATACCAGGAGAGAGCGTGGCTAATCAACATCGCTTGTTGGTGATGGATGTACATATCAAAAGAGTGAGAAAAAAAAGAACAAGACTTGGAAGTGCCCAAGGACTAGATGGTGGAATCTAAAAGAAGAAAAAACAAGCCATTTTCAAAGAGAAAGTAATCACCCAGTGTGTGTGGGATAGAGAGGGGGAAGCTAGCCAAATGTGGGATTCCATGGCTAGTTGTATCCGAAAAGTAGCAAAGAGGTATTAGGAGAGTCCAAGGGCTTTGCCCCACACCAAAAGGAATCTTGGTGGTGGAATGAGGAGGTACAAACAAAGGTGAAGGCTAAGAAGGAATGTTGTAAAGCCTTATACAAGGATAGGACCGATGAAAATGGTGAAAGGTATAGAAAAGCGAAGCAAGAGGCGAAGAAAGCTGTGAGAGAAGCTAAGTTAGCGGCTTATGACGATATGTATAAGCGACTAGATACCAAAGAAGGAGAGTTGGATATCTATAAACTAGCTAGAGCAAGGGAAAAGAAGACAAGGGACCTAAACCAAGTGAGGTGCATCAAGGATGAGGATGGAAAGGTTCTTGCTACAGAGAACGCGGTTAAAGACAGATGGAGAGGTTATTTTCATAATCTTTTCAATGAAGGACATGAAAGGAGTGCTTCTTTAGGGGAGTTGAGTAACTCAGAAGAGTGTAGAAACTACTCTTTTTATCGTCGAATCCGGAAGGAAGAAGAAGTGGTTGTAGCTTTGAAGAAGATGAAGCATAGAAAAGCAGTAGGCCCAGACGATATACCAATCGAAGTGTGGAAAGTTTTGGGAGAGACAGGTATAACATGGCTCACTGACCTTTTCAATAGGATTTTGAAAACGAAGAAGATGCCAAATGAGTGGCGAACGAGCACTTTGGTGCCTATCTACAAGAATAAGGGCGACGTACAAAATTGCATGAACTATAGGGGTATTAAGCTAATGAGTCATACAATGAAGCTCTGGGAGAGAGTCATTGAGCATAGATTGAGGCAAGAGACACGGGTTTCGGACAACCAATTCGGGTTCATGCCAGGGCGCTCAACCATGGAGGCAATCTATCTCTTACGAAGATTGATGGAAAGATATAGAGATGGGAAAAAGGATTTACACATGGTCTTTATAGATTTGGAAAAAGCGTATGATAGGGTCCCAAGAGACATTCTTTGGAGGATTTTAGAGAAGAAAGGAGTACGAGTAGCATATATCCAAGCTATAAAGGATATGTATGAAGGAGCAAAGACTGCCGTAAGAACTCATGAAGGACAAACCGAAAGCTTTCCCATAACTGTAGGATTACATCAAGGCTCATCCTTAAGTCCTTACCTTTTTGCGTTGGTAATGGATGAGTTAACAGGACATATTCAAGATGATATTCCTTGGTGTATGCTTTTCGCAGACGATATAGTGTTGATAGATGAAACTCAGGAAGGGGTAAATGCAAAGCTTAACCTTTGGAGAGAAGTGTTGGAATCTAAAGGTCTTCGCCTAAGCCGATCAAAGACAGAATATATGGAGTGCAAGTTCAGTGCAAATGGAGGCCAAAACGAGTTAGGGGTGAGGATCGGAGATCAAGAAATACCAAAGAGCGACCGTTTTCGTTACCTAGGATCTATCTTGCAAAAGAACGGAGAATTAGATGGAGATCTCAACCATAGAATACAAGCTGGATGGATGAAGTGGAAGAGTGCATCCGGCGTGTTGTGTGACCGCCGTATGCCACTGAAGCTCAAGGGAAAATTTTATAGGACGGCAATAAGGCCGGCGATGCTGTATGGCACAGAATGTTGGGCGGTGAAGCATCAACACGTACACAAAAATGGGTGTAGCGGAGATGAGGATGCTTCGTTGGATGTGTGGGCACACGAGAAAGGATAAGATTAGGAATGAGGATATCCGGGGGTAAAGTAGGAGTAGCCGAAATTGAAGGAAAGATGAGAGAAAATCGGTTACGGTGGTTTGGACATGTGCAAAGAAGGCCTACTGACGCTCCGATTAGAAGATGCGACTATGGGACAGAGGTTCAGGGCCGAAGGGGTAGAGGAAGACCTAGGAAAACTTTGGAAGAGACTCTAAGAAAAGACTTAGAGTACTTGGATCTAACGGAGGACATGACACAGGACCGAGCACAATGGCGTTCTAAGATTCATATAGCCGATCCCACTCAGTGACTTGGATTTTCCAAGTCTCCAACCGAGAAGTTTTCCTCACTCGGGAAATTAAGGGAACACTACCTCAACCTACATGCTCCACTCACAAAGCTTCAACATACAAGCTTCAACAAAAGAAAATTCAAAGAACTTAGCGAAGAAGGCTTTGGTGTATTTAACACAATACGTTGAAATGAAGGAAAGCTTATTTATTGATATCCCCGATAAGTTACAAATATGTACATATACATGAGTCAAAATAAACAAACAAGAGGGAGCCTTCACAAAGGTTGCTTAGGAGAAGTCTCAGCAGTCGGTAGAGCCCCAGAAAGAGAAGGCACCGGAGGGGGATCATTCGGAGCCTCAGTACTGGACAGAACCCTAGAAGGAGGAGGCATCAGAGGTTGATCATTTGGAGCTTCATTACGCGGTACAGCCCCAGAAGACGAAGGCAATAAATGCCTTTGGAACAAACCCACAAATCTCTGATGATCAAGTAAAACCTGACCATCAGATTCCTTCATCTGGTCAAGCTTCCTCTTCATGTTTGTAGCATAGTCATGTGCGAGCCGGTGCAACTGTTTATTCTCATGCTTGAGCCCTCTAATCTCCTGTTTGAGACTCATCACTTCAGCCGCCAATGATTCAACTTGGCGGGTTCGAGCAAATAGGCGTTGGGCCATATTAGACACAGAACCTGCACACTGAACACTGAGAGCCAGAGAATCCTTAACAGCCAACTCATCAGACCGTTTGGAAAGTAGTTTGTTATCTTTGGGAGTGAGAAGGTTCCTGGCCACTACCGCAGTGGTCATATCATTCTTCATCACGGAATCCCCAACGGTAAGAGGACCAGTAGGGGAGACGAAGGAATGGGCGCCATATGTTGTCTGGAGAAGGCGTGGCTGCCTCTTCAACAAGGTTCAAGTCAAAACGACGGTCGGAGGGGCCAGACATTTTTAAAGGTGTTGAAAAGAGAAGAGGTCGGACAAATCAAGATCTTAGAAGTGCAAGAATGGAGCTTCTACTGGTGAACGGAGCTTCAGAAATCGAAGAGGCGTTCACTTTCTCAAAAGATGGGCTGCTCAGAGACCACGAGACGTTTGCTTTCTCAAAAGTTGGGCTGCTCAAAGACCACGAAGGCCGATCTCAGAAATCGAAGAGGCGCTTGCTTTCTCAAAAGCTAGGCTGCTCAGAGACCACGAGGGCCAATCTCAGAAATCGAAGAGGCACCTACTTTTCCAGCCTTGTCAGCACCTGTCACACGCACACTCAGCTTTGCGGAAATTATGGGCATTCTGTCGAAGATTTCTGGTGAAGTAGAAAGCACATGAATCTTACTGTTCAATCACCCACTTCCCACACGCAACATTAGCTCATGGGTACCACAGATAACTTTGCCAAAGTTCTCTGACAAAGTTGAGACACGTGAAGCTTGCAGCTCCCACTACATCGCTCTGACCAAGAAGGGTAAAAGAATAGCAAAGAAACAACACTAACAAAGTTTAGACACATAAATTTTGAAGGTCTAGCTACCATATTATTACCCACAAGGGTAAAGGAACAGTACCACTGCTGGATAATTGGAAAGTCCCTGTGTGTCAACCTCTGTGCTTCGTGGCAAGGTAGACTAGCAAACATGCCCAACCTTTTCTCACATTCGAGAAAACACTCCCAACAAGATTGCTTGCTCCAAAATCGAAGAGGCACCGCCCTCCGAATCTCGAGAGCCAGACTCCCAACATGATTACTTTCTCAAAAATCGAAGAGACACCGCTCTCCGAATCTCGAGAGCCAGACCCCTAGCAGGATTGCTTTCTCAAAAATCGAAAAGGCATCGTTCTCCGAATCTCGAGAGCCAGATCTCCGACAGGATTGCTTGTTCGAAAACCGAAGAGGCACCACTTTCCCAACTTCAAGAGCCGGATCTCCTTGGATAAAGCTTGTCTGTAATCTTCACACGCAACATCAGCTTTCCAGATACCACAGACCACTTTTTCAAAGTGCTCTGACAGAGTTAAAACATGTGAAGCTGGCAGCTCCCACTACCGTGCTTATGACCAAGCAGGGTAAAGGAATAGCATTACTTACTTGTTGTTAGGGAGACTCCTATATATGTCGACCTCCATCCCCAACGGACAGGCAGACCTGCAAAAATGCTCAACCCTTCCTCATATCTGAGAGGGCACTCCCAACGAAGCCTTTCGAAATATTCAGCTTTCTTTCCCCCCGATAATACCTCTGCAAACAAGCTATACTAGAGCAAGAATATCTCATATCATCAGGGTTAAAAGCAAGAGTATCCCATATCATGCTTTTTCCCTGTCTTTTTCCTTTGGCCTTGTTCTTACCTGCAAGACAAGGAGAAAGAGAGCAATCAGTCAGCACTTGGAATCAAGCTTCCAGTCCAGGAACTGACTGCCTGGAACCCCTTACCTGATTACTTACCTGGCATTGCTCTCGAGTACTCATCTTCAACATCTTATGCTTCCAGGGAAGATACCGCATCTGCCTGAGGAACAGATAGGGCAAGTGAGAAGGATACAAGGAAGCATGTGGAGACAAGCGTAACAGCACACGTGCCGATACATCCACTACTCTGTCAAAAGCAAAAGTATCCCATATCAGCAGGGTCGAACGTACTCTAGATTTGATGGACTTGTTTTGACCCTCAAATTCTTTAGTCGGCCTTATACTCTGGAGGAAACCAGAAAACCCTCCAGCCCAGTTCAAGAATAAGCCTGTGGAAAGTTACTTCTTCAAAAGCAAAAGTATCCCATATCATCTCTTCTCATTTTTCTTCTCTTTATCCTTCATGCTGCCTGCAAGATAGGGAGAATGTGAACAATCAGCTGGAACTCGAAATCAAAGTTCTGATCTGGGACTGATTGCTTGGAGCTCTAATTGCTTACCTTGTATGTCACCTCTTTCAGCAGATCCCCTAGCTCGGCGACTTGGGGGACTCCTACTACATGGTTTGTATCGCGCTTGACCAAGCCTGAAACTACAAGTAAGCTTCAAGTGAAATTGATACATTACCTTGTGCATCTCCACCAGTTAAAGATACCACCCCTGGATGGAGGAAGAGTACTTCCAGAGAAGATGCCACATCTACCTATGAGACAGATAAGGCAAGTCAAGACGATACCACACTCCGGTACTTAGAAGTTTCGTGATTACGAGATCATTCTCCCACAATATTTCCTAATGTCATTTGTACTAAATCATTCACTTGTACTCACTAAAGGAGAGCTTGAACCTATGTACTTGTGTAAACCCTTCACAATTAATGAGAACTCCTCTATTCCGTGGACGTAGCCAATCTGGGTGAACCACGTACATCTTGTGTTTGCTTTCCTATCTCTATATCCATTTATATACTTATCCACACTAATGACCGGAGCAATCTAGCGAAGATCACAAAAAGCGACCGTTTTCGCTACCTAGGATCTATCTTGCAAGAGAACGGAGAATTAGATGGAGATCTCAACCATAGAATACAAGCTGGATGGATGAAGTGTAAGAGTGCATCCGGCGTGTTGTGTGACCGTCGTAGGCCACTGAAGCTCAAGGGAAAATTTTATAGGACGGCAATAAGGCCAGCGATGTTGTATGGCACAGAATGTTGGGCGGTGAAGCATCAACACGTACACAAAATGGGTGTAGCGGAGATGAGGATGCTTCGTGGGATGTGTGGGCACACGAGAAAGGATAAGATTGGGAATGAGGATATCCGAGGTAAAGTAGGAGTAGCCGAAAATTGAAGGAAAGATGAGAGAAAATCGGTTACCGGTGGTTTGGACATGTGCAAAGAAGGCCTACTGACGCTCCGGTTCGAAGATGTGACTACGGAACAGAGGTTCGGGGCCGAAGGGGTAGAGGAAGACCTAGGAAAACTTTGGAAGAGACCCTAAGAAAAGACTTAGAGTACTTGGATCTAACGGAGGACATGACACAAAACCGAGCGCAATGGTGTTCTAGGATTCATATAGCCGACCCCACTTAGTGGGAAAAGGCTTTGTTGTTGTTGTTGTTGTCTACATAGCGAATGTATCTGATTGAGTACGAAAATATGGTGTGTGCAACTAGTTGATGCTTCCTTCTACAGCAAAATTCAAGTTACATTAACGAAGATATTACTATTATGTTTTACTAAGGGAATAATACATATGGGATATTTCAAAGAACGCAAGTTAATCTTGGTAAAATCTTTGTAAAATCTTTGTATCTTGCTTTGAAATTTGTCCCAGCCTTTACCAGATTGGTATGGAAATATTTAAGTAGCAATGGCATTTATATAATCATTACTCCTGATTTATCAACAAACCTTAATTGTTATTATAACGAAAAGAAAGAAGTTCCCTGGTGCATACAGTGGAAGCTTTTAACTCAGTAATTGCCTACATACTACGGGAAGGTGAATGAGGATTGAGGAATATGCTGGTGATTCACTTCAGAATCATGTCATGAAAATTTGAGTATTAGTAAATGAGATGGCATGCAGTGCAGTCTCTCCTCACCCCAAAAACCCCAGAAGAAAAATAAACTAGAGATGGCACGTGTTTGACATTTACCTGATATTGCCATCCTGATTCTAAGATTGTTATGTCTTTGTAATTTTACAACAATTTCTGGTCACTCATGACTTGTTTAGTTGCATTTACAATAAATCTTATATGAAGCTTCTATTCTGTTGCAGAAGATAGCCGTATTAACGCTTCTTATATTTCTATCAATGATGAAATGGTCTAATATGCTTTATATAAAGTGTGTGAAAACTAATTGAAGTAGTTTGACAAAATGATGATGCTTTCAGGTGTCTAAGGAATATAAGTTGGTCCCAGATACACTTTACCTCACAGTTTATCTCATCGGTTCGTTTCTCTGTCACAATTACATTGAGAGCAACAGACTTCAATTGCTTGGCATCACTTGCTTGCTGATCGCCTCGTAAGCTTTCATACCTATAGCAGAGTTAACTGCATTACTTGATTACAACTTTCGATTAGGACTTATCAACAATGAAACCATTCAAATCTTAATTATTGTGCTTTTATCATATGCAATCACTTTTATCAGTAAGCCCAAATCTTAGCAATCAAACATATGGAAACATAAATAATTCCAATATTGTCTCTCATTATTTGATGTTGAAAAGTGAATGAAGAATGTTGTTGGTCTTTTTTAGATCCTTGGTCACTAATTAGTTGGAAGGAACTTATGTTGAACTGCCCAACATGCTTTATCAATGCAGTATGCTTGGATTGGATAAATTTGCGCAACAGTTGTCTCGGCTAGTGCAATGTTGAGTAATATTCATCAATATACTATCAACCTAAATTATAAATTAATTTCTTCTATATTGCCTTGTTCATTTCAATCAAGGTCCATTTGGTGGGAAATAAGATGCCTTTGCCAAAATTTGGATGAAATAAGTACGGAGACAATAGAGATTATTGTATAAGTGTATAAGATTTAAAGGCTAATATGATAATTAATTTAGTTATGATTCTCTTGCAAGTGATTATATAGTACAAAGTTTCAAAGGGTTCATTCAAATGCATTTCACAGAACATGATATTTGTCAAATGTTGTTTATTGAGATTGCTGATGTGGTTGTCTTCTTTGTTTAATCTTATTAAGGAAATATGAAGAGATCTGTGCACCACGTGTTGAAGAGCTTTGTTTCATGACAGACAACACTTACTCGAGAGAGCAGGTATGTCATTCTCCGTTCTTATTCCAATGGACGGGTTAGATTACAGGAGTTTATTATATATTGATGCAAAAAAAACCTTAAGAGTAGCCTGTAAATTCTGAATGAGTAAATGCTTGCTAGGGGATGCTCCTAAAGTAGTATGACGCCTCTGCACATAAATAGTGGAGATGAAAATGATCTTGTAGGATCATACGACTTTAAAGCGAATAATTTCATTTTTTGTTGTCTTTTTTGTCCCTGCTATTCGTCTGAGTTTATGAGGAAAAATCCTTAACCCTGTCCCTCGCTCTCTTTTTATACTGAAAACCGAAAACCTGTGGCAAGACTTGTCCTATTGAAATTCTTATTTAATCCTTAAGGTTCTAATTTATTCTGCCCTGTTAAGTTCTTTTCATTTCATTCCTAAATAAAGAAACGTCGCAGGTACTGAAAATGGAGAGTCAAGTACTGAAGTATTTTGGTTTTCAACTTTTTGCACCAACTACAAAAACGTTCCTCAGGTACATCTGCCCAAATGTTGTTAAATCCCTTTATTAATAGTTTCAATACTATTGAACATTGCTAATGCTGATTTATTTTGAGGAGATTTCTTCAAGCAGCACAAGCTTCTTATAAGGTACCATGATTCCTTAAAGTTGCTTTCGGCCTTGGTTTGCAGATGCCATGCTTTTTCTTCTTTTTTTTTTTTTTTTTTTTTTTTTTTTTTTTTTTTTTTTTTTTTTGACCTCTGGTTTGAAGTTACATATCAAATCATAAAATTTTTGCCGAGTCCTAGCCTTGAACTGGAGTACTTGGCCAATTATCTTGCTGAGCTAACTTTGGTTGACTACAGCTTCTTGAATTTCCTTCCGTCTGTCATTGCTGCATCCGCAGTTTTTCTTTCCAAATGGACCTTAGATCAGTCTAGCCACCCATGGGTTCGTCTTTCTCCCTTCTAGTATAGTTATCTTCTCCTACTTGTTGATTATATACCGGAAATATGACTTCAGTTGTAACTCTAACAGAATCCAATACTCGAACACTATACCTCTTACAAGCCAGTGGACTTGAAGATCACAGTTCTTGCTTTGCAAGAACCACGGCTGAACACTAGCGGTTGTCCTCTGAGGGCCGTACGCATGAAGTATAGACATCAAAAGGTATCAAATAGCAAGTATATGACAAAACAACTGCTAAGCTTTCTAAAATCAGTACAAATTTTTCATTACACCAGACTTGGAATGTTAAGTGATTTTTGTACTAATTATGTGATTTTTGTTACGGCAGTACAAATCTGTGGTGGGTTTGTCATCCCCGGAACTCCCTAAAATGCTATTTTGAAGATGATTTCAAGGGAGAGCTAACAGAGACTGACATGTATACTTTCTGGACAGAAGTTTCCTCGGGGTTTTTTCAATCACTCCATGAGGCGGGCTATTTACATTCGTTTATCCAATTTTCTTAGTTCTTGTTTATAGATTTTCTGACCTGGGTTTGTGCTTCAAGCAACCTGTGTCTTTTGTAGAATTGAAATAGGGCTGTCTAGCCACTTAAGCATGAAACTTGGTTACATGAACTGTTAATAGTCGTCGTCATTATGTTGAGTTCAGGTTAATCCAGCGTAATTAGGCCATCCGCGGTTTAATTCAGTTGTAAAGTTTTTCACGACCCTAATTAATTAGTGAGTTGTAAAGGTTTAGTTTCTGAACTAAATTTGTGAGTATTGGTTTTCGAATTTTTTATAATATGAAATAATGGTTATTTTGGGTAACACCGTAAGAATTTACATTCAAAATAAAGGGCTTAAAGAGGTAAATACAGAACGAAATTTCTAACGAAGTTATATAAAATGACCATCGTTTCACATTGTGACTAGTTCATGGATCAATAATCAGATTTTAAATTTAAAGACTAGGGGGTTATTTATTGGGAGCTTTATATACAGGGACAAAAACTTTTACTATATTTTAAGGAACTCCACTAATTTTAAACATGTCAAAAAAGACAAAAACATAAAAACAACTAAAGCCCAACCAAAAAACATGGAAACAATGGTTTAAAATATCGATCAGCATTGCAGTCACCACATTTGGCGAGAAACGATCTGCATACAGAGCAGCATTGCAGTCACCACATTTGGAGTCCACGAAATTTGGAAAAGAACAACAGCCCATATTTTTTAGTGATCAGCCCACTGAGCTGCAACAAACAAATGTGGAGAAAGACTAGCCCACGAGTCCCACAGGGTTTGGGCTCGAAAATGAGCTGCAGCCCACTATTTGCGATGGAACCGAGCAGCAACCATAACAATTGTCACAGGATTTTTCTCCCGATGTTATGAACTCGTCTTTTGTTAACTCTCATAACCAATCGCCTTCTACACCGGATACACCTCCACTTCGTCGCCTTCTAGAGCGTATTAACCGAGGTATTCCCAAATCCACTTATGAGGCAGATCCTAAGTGTAAACACAAGTATTCCGTGAGTGAGCCAAATTCGAATTCAAGAGTGAGATATCCACTAAACAATTATGTGTCTACCTGTCACTTGTCAGAATTAAATAAGTCATTTGTATATCAATTATCTACTGCATCTATTCCTAACAATGTGCATAAGGCCTTAGCAGATTCCCGCTGGAAAGATGCAATGAATGAGGAATTGAGTTCGTTGAAGAAGAATGTTACTTGGGAAATAATTGACTTGCCAGTTGGAAAGAAATCTGTGGGATGCAAATGGGTCTATACAGTGAAATACAAAGCAAATGGAAAGGTATATAGCTTTAAAGCAAGATTGGTGGCAAAGGGGTATACATAGAAATATGGCATCGACTACACTGATACGTTCCCACCAGTGATAAAGATCAATACAGTTTATGTTCTACTGTCCTTAGCAGCAAACCTAGATTGGTCTTTGCAACAATTCGATGTAAAAAATGCATTCTTCCATGGAGATCTAATTGAGGAGATTTACATGGACCTTCCACCAGGGTGTAATGATCCGAACATACGGAAACAAAAGGTATGCAGGCTCAGGAAATCATTGTATGGGTTAAAGCAGTCTTCGAGAGCCTGGTTTGGTAGATTTACCAAGTCCATGAGGGCATTCGATTATAGGCAAAGCAATTGGGATTACACATTATTCCTGAAACGCTAGAATGGAAATGTTACAGCTCTCATTGTATATGTGGATGACATGGTGGTTACCGGTAACGATCCCGTTGAGCAAGCAGCCTTGAAAGATTATTTTCCTACAGAATTCAAAATGAAAGATCTTGGTTCTTTAAAATATTTCCTTGGGATTGAAGTGTCGAGATGCAACTTCGGGATATTTCTATCATAAAGGAATGTTCTTGATCTATTGGAAGAAACCGGTATGACGACGTGTAAGCCAGTGTCTACTCCAGTGGCTGAAGGAATGAAGTTGGGTATTGATCAGAACCAAGTACCGGTTGATAAAGGGAGGTACCAAAGGTTAGTTGGAAGATTAATGTATTTGGCCCACACTATGCCAGATCTTGCTCGTGCCTTAAGTCTAGTTAGTCAATATATGCATAATCCAAGAGATAGGCTGGATCTTGTGCATTTCAAAATTGAGTGCTATACAAATGTTGATTGGGCAGGATCGACGGATGATAGGTGCTCGACATCCAGGTATTTCACCTTTGTTGGGGGAAATCTAGTAATGCGGAGAAGTAAGAAGCAGAATGTCGTATCAAGGTCAAGCGCAGAAGCCGAATTTAGAGGCATGGCACTTGGTATTTGTGAAATCTTATGGCTTAAGTTTCTGTTACAAGATTTACGGGTCAAACATGGTCAGCCGATGAAGTTATTTTGTGACAATAAAGTTGCTTGTGATATCCAGTGCAACATGATAGGACCAAGCATGTAGAGGTTGACAGGTTCTTTATTAAGGAGAAGCTAGACAACAAAGTAATTGAGGTTACTCCCATAGGAACTGAAGACCAAGTAACATATATTCTCACTAAGGCGGTCTCTAGTGACAAGTTCTCGAGGTTTCTAGACAAGTTGGGCATGTGCAACATCTATGCACCAACTTGAGGGGAAGTGTTGACTTGTATTAGGATTCCTACCATTGTGGGATTCCTACCATATTTGGTTTCCTAGTTTAGGATGTAATTATTCTTTCCTTATTCTGATAGGATTATATATGATTGTATATATACCTTTGATTGTGATGAATATCATTGAAAACTATTCTTTCTTCTTTCTATCTATATTTGTATCTTATAAACTGTCTGCAGATTCTGCAGTGGGTTCCATAACCTGAAACTGATGTTTTTTGAGAGCTCTATTGTGCAGGTAAAAGACATTGTTTCACGATACTTGTCAGAGTACAATACTTACCTTCCCACCCTTTACTCTGAAGGTCCAGAAGGGTCAGATCCAAGGCGCCTCATCCTCGTAGAAATCGATGAGGGAAGGAACCCTATCTTTAGTAACTATTAAAGTTTCAGAGAGACAGGCTAATGGTCCAACACTGATATTGTTCCTAACTTAACCACCTGCTGGTTACTAGCACAAGTAGGGTTTCGTCCTAAAAGGCCTCGGTGTGATGAGGAATGGAATTAGGTAATTACACATTGTAAATTCTTTTGTCAAATTCCCGATGTGGGATTTCCAACACTAACTAGGCAAAATAATTTGAGATATGAGATCCATCAAAGCCCAGTTTTGAGTTCTTGGAGATGTCATTTGCACCGGTGGCCGGTGTTAGAGAAGCATCATGTAGTGGAAAAACATTTCGATGCAAAGAAATAATGTGTAATTACACTGGAATGAAAAGAATCATTTCTTTGATGCAGGCATTAACTTATGTTCTCGTACAGTCGATCAATTCGTAACATCAATGTAGAATTTACTCACTCCTTACTCAATATATTGTATGTTTCGAGTATAGAGATCTAAGGGCAGCAACAGCAGACCCCGTTCAAGCAGGACTCACAAGTCTCGTAGCAGCAACAACAGCAGCACAACGTGAACAAGCTGCAACACAAACGCAATCCAACCATAAACAGAAGTATAAGATGAAGATGGAGGAGGAAAATTCGAAAAGCGAAGATTTAACGATTAAAACAAACCAAGCATAGAAGCAGCCTTTCTCCTCCTTGCGTCGCTGCACGTGATCGCAGCACGACATCCTTTGTCTTGGTGGTGCATCCATGCCTTTTCTTCTCTGATAGGAGGCTGCAGAAAAATACTTCAAAGGATACCAGAAAATAGCATATATAAGGGCTTTGTATAAAGGTTTGCAACTTCTAACTTCTAACCAGTTGGATGTAGTTTTCTCACTGCTCCATTTATTTTTGTAGTTAGAAGAATGGAATATGTCCATCTCCCAACCTACCAATTTCACGTGGAAGCTTTAAATGTGAGCAGAAATATGTGACTTTTAGTTGAACGACAACTTCAGACATGAAGTTGTAATTGACATTTCGAAATAGTCATTCGGCACTTCCTTCTTTACGAGAAAAAAATTGAGATAAAACAAATGCACGATTAACAAATTGGTAATAAAATCTTGTAAAGGATTTTGATTTTGGTGCTTGGTTGTTCAAAATTTGCGGCGCATAAAATAATGAAGACAATAGCCTTGTTTTGATTACCCTTTAGATTCAACCAACGTTGAAAAAAAATGGGTGCTAACTTGAATATTTTATCCATGTGAAGGTAGAAAATGGAGAAATATGAAGAAAACTTTCCTCCTAATCCCCACAAAAATGGTAGAATTGAGAGGAACAACTTTTTTTCATTACTTTTCCATCCTCTATCTGCACTTGGACAAAATATGCAAGTTGGCATCTAAATATTTATTAAACAGTCATTGAATCTAGTGAATTTACCCAAACCAAGTCAATAAACGAGATAACTAACTAAGAAATGATTGTTTTATTGATACTCCAAAATAGTCATTATACGTTTTATATACGAAATTTATTAGATTGTATCTAATAAAGTATACAATCCAGGTAAAAAGAAGAAAAAGTGTGACAAAAGGAAGTGCATTAAATACCAAAAATGGCAAAATGCAGACTTACAGAGAATTGCAGACGGATCACTTTTATTTTTATCAGTTTTTTTTTTCTTTCTATCTCATCTAATCAAAACTCCCCGAACAAGAAGAGAAAGACTCTGTACATACATCTCCTTGTATTTTTCATTATTTCTCTCTCTCTCTCTCTCATCATATGTAAAACAGTAAAAGGCCTTTTTCAGTGTGTGCTTGTGCATTGCGGAGGCGTCCTCGGAGCTAATCCGATCGCCTCTGAGCTTTTCATCAACCGGAGCCGCTTGCATGTTTCCACAAACATTCTGTTCAAAGAAAAATAACGGATCAATACTGAATAAATATGATGAACAATTTACTCAAAACATTAGAAAACATTAATTGTCTGGTTGTGAATCAGGATCGCCAATATTTTAAATGTTGCGGTCTTAGTCTTTTATTCACAAGCTGACAACATTAGACAAGAGATTGAAATCTTACTTCCATGGGACATCTCCAACAAGCATCCAATCGCCATCTCTGTCTTCATAAGTTGGTACATATTCCACCCCATTTGCAGGGTCCATAAGCTTGCTCTCATTTAAGTAATTACCTGCAGTAAACAGTAATAATACGCCACGACACATTAGAACTAGGACATGGGACCATGGGTTTCCAAAAAGAAGATAAAAACTACAGGTTTTCTAACATGGGCCGAAGCATATTATGCATTTGGATTCTCGGCCGTGAATCTTTAGCAAGTAGATAAAAGCACAGTACATATTATGCTCCGATTCATTCTAGAATTCTCAAAAAACTACAGATAGTGTTGTTAGATACATACGGATTTTTAAGAAGGAAAACATGTCCTCAAGAGCACCCAAAAGCTGCTGATAGCTGTTGTACATCTCAAGATCAACCTTGCGCAGATATGGAGCTCCATCAACTGCCACTTTCACATATTTGCAGCTGTTCATCAAGTTCTTCCTTGAAACTCTCACTGGTGGCCATCCAACCACTTGTGCCCTGAAATATTCACATAGAATTTTCATCAAAACACATTGTAAACATAAAATTAAAAGAAAACTCTTTTTAGTGTTCATGTAATTTTTTACAATAAAATCATGTAGACCATCATATAAAATTTCCATCAATCACATTACAAACTTGAAAATTAAAGAAAATCCATTTCATTTTTCATGTAAATAGTACAAAAAATTCATGTGAGCGTCCTGAAAACCCTTTTCGATGTTCATGTCGTCATCATAAAAAAAAAACTCCCACAAAAAAACTCATAAGTTAAAGAATATTCAGGGTTAGGCCAGATGGCCAAGACAGTGTGTTCGTCCCTTTCACTTAGGTTCAATTCCCCATCATCGTAGATTAGAGCAGTTTGAAATATTGTAAAACATTTCAATTTTCAAGTAACTGAATTGTACAATATATTCACGTGGACAAACTTACTTAGCTGGAGCCTTATGAGTTTTGTCCCCACCATCAACAACACTATATTGATCACAACATTCCACCCCTGCTCTTGGCGACGATGAGCTCGAGCTCCCAAGACTAATATCAACGGTCTCTGAGAATCCACGTTTCGAGCCCGAACCAGGCAACCCTAAGGTCAGCTTCGTCTCATCGTAGTTCAGTCCGTCCGGCGGCTGCTGCTTATTTTCCGGTAACATTTTGAGAGCTTTTGCTTTGCTTTTACTTCAATGTGATAAGAGTGACCAGCAAGTTTGGCCGGCCTCTTGGTGCCCTTCATAATATATAATGGTGAGAGGCAGAATGTGGCCGGCGAAATGATTCGGCCAGTGGGTAGAGGACACGTGGTAGGAAAGAAAGGCTGTAATTTATCCATGTTGTGGCATCGTGTGGTGGATTGAAGCGTGTGGTTTGGTGATTTCTATGCTTGAAACTCAAAGCTTGGCCCCCGCGGTGGGTCCAGTTCCGACCTGCGATCCCGTCTCATTATTTTTATTTTTTAGCTTTGTTTTTATTTATATACATGAAAATTAAAATATAGTTATTGTTGCAGTTCCAAATTTATTAAGAACTAGTCTCTTATCACACGCATACGTGTATGACAATTGATATTTTTATAATTTTTAATTTAAATATTAAAAAAAAATGAATTAATGACGTGAAACCACCAACTAACGTGAAAGGTTTTGTTTTTGTTTTTTTTTCCCTATAATTTTAAATATTAAATTCATTCAAAATAAAAATATGGTTAAATACTTTAGCTTCTTTTGGTTCAAATATAATTTATGAAATTCTTAAAGGACAATTCATGGTATTTTGAATGTTTCACCATTTTAGGGTGCTCACTTTATATATATAGATGTAATTGTTTAAATGTTTAAATACCTAAAATTCCTTAACCTTTTAGTGTCATTTCAAATTGGTCTCAATTTTTTTAAACATTCCAAACAAGTACCCAACCTATTGAAAATGTCACTATCCATTATGCCCTAGTTAAAAATCGGTTAAATTAATTAGGGCTTACTTTGTCTCCAAAATCAATAAAAAGTCATGAAAGCATAATATCTACCAACAAATGGTCACTACTAGCCCCATGTCATCACCTCCAAACCCAACACAAAACCACTAACTTCACCCTATAACTCTAGCTACCAACATCGAGAAGAAGATGATGGAGATTGCTGAAAGGATATGGACTGTCATGATGCGGCTATCGTCATCTTCACCGCCACAAAGAAGAATTGGAAGCTTTATGAGCTGAGAATCGGCATATGAGGAAATCACATATGCAGAAACAAGCTTCTTGAAACCTTATCTGAATTCTTAACACTCTTTTTTTGTTAGGAAATTGCCCATCCTAATATAATTTCAATTTGGATCCATTTTCGATTCAATTCAATACTTGTTTGTTCATGGGGTTCCATATTACATAATCTATCTTTGAAATTCAAATTTCGAGGCAACTAATATTAATGTTGACCATGATATACCCAATTGGTAGATTTTGAACATAATCTATGTTTGAAGAAATTAACTGGAGCTTAACGGATGTGACATTTTTCTACAACTAGCATTCAAAGGCTTTATTTTACTGAGAGAAAATAGAGGGAGAGGGCAGCGATAGTCTATCAGCATGCTTGTTAAGCTCCAATTAAATTTTTTCAAACATAGATTATGTTCAAAATCAGTTATGGGCTGCAACAGAACATGTTGGCGGATTTCTAATGTTGGTGGATTTCTACAACTAGCATTCATAACATGTTATTAGCACGCTCACGCTGATGTGCTAAGGAACTGAAAATTCTTGGGGAGGTTTTTCTACAACTAGCATTCAAAGGCTTTCATTGTTTCCATCCAATCCAGGTTCTTCTAAAACACAAAATCGATAATTTATAAGACCTGATAGCATGAAAACATTCGTCATGATGCACAAACCCTAAATTTATTGTTGCTTTATATGCCTATATTGCATAAATAGCTCAATTATATATTGTTCATACATACACAATATTATGTTTTATTAATGTATATTAGATATTTCTAAGTTTAATTGTGTAATTACAAAGAAAACAAGAAAATAGAAGCAAAAACTAGATTTTTTTTATTAATGTATATTGGGATGCTTCCTGCTTCCAACCCGCACTCAGCTCCTGTTGGGGGACGCTGTTCACGGTTTACACCCATCCAATTCTGGTATGGCATGAACGTCTATATTTTTGCTTCCACGACTGGCACCTATTTTGTCTCGGTCTATTGAATTAATTTAAGTGACAACCAATCCATAAATTAGACAAAAAACATATTTTTGGCCTACAACCCACTTTTGCCAAATTACAATTCAATATTTTATTATTTTATTTGAACCATTAATATCATTTCATAGCCTGAAGCTACTTGAAGCAACCCAAATTCTCTATATAAGTTGTATATTATAAATTTATTTGAGAGATTGGTTGAAATGATCATTTTTCAAATCTAAATTGTTGAACAGTATTTGATCCATATGTCATCAATGTATGATCTTTATTAGACATGACAATTTCATGCACAACCTGTTAACTCGACACGAAAATAACAGGTTTCAAGCTAAGGCTTTAAGGGTCAGGTGTGTTATTGGGTCAACCCGTTAAATCTCCGTTATATAACAGGTTGATTCACGTTAAAAATACATTCTTTCACAAACTTTTCAATATTACACAATAAATTTACGTATTTAGACACATTTTAACATATTTTAAAAAAAGGCCAAGTTTTTCAGATTATTTTTTAGCAAAGTTGTAGAACAATTTTCACGTACTATATTTGTTTCTTATATCACGTACTATACCCATTTCGTATTTTTCATGTAATATGATTGCCAACACGAAATTCCAGCGACAAATGAAACAAGAATACGTGTACAAAGTAATATTTGTATTAATGAAAGTTTAAGGTTACAATCTCTAAGTAAAAAAATGTTAAACCTTTGATTCGATCTCTAGAATGCAAAGTGTGTGTACGGTGGTAGATTCGAGGGTCGTAGGGACTTGTTCTCAAACCAAGGAAAGTCGCAAGAGTTTGGCTTGAGGTGATGGAAGAACCGGCATGTGTAGTGGTGTTTGATGGTTCTTCACAAGTGTGGTGAAGAATGCAAAGAGTTTTATGAGTCTTCTGAGTGTGTAGAGTGTTTGGGAGTTTGAGCTTCTCAGGATGTGTGGGTGTGTATCTCTTCTTTATCTTGGAGCCTCACAATTATAGGCCTCTCCATGTCTTGATTGAGGCTTGATTTGGTACTGATTTTGGACTTGATTAATTGATGAAAGAACCAAGACTTGATTTGGACTTAATTTGTTGATGAAAGAACCAATACTTGATTTGCACTTTATTCGTGATTTGATGAAATCAAATAATCTTGATTCAATTAAATAATCTTTGATTTAATTAAATCAATCAATCACCTTTCATCCTTAATTTGGTCAATCTCCCTGATTTGGCGTTCATTTCATTTGTGATTATTTCCTTTAGTTAAATCAAGGTTAATTAAAGATAATTCCTTAACTATTTTTCATTAAATGTTGACGCGTGTCACTCTTGATGATTCGTTCGGTTTTGATGAGTCATATGGTATGTGTGCAACTTGTGAGACTTACAGTGAGCGTCACGTAAACCCTTGCAGGTCAAAACTTTAATTTGTTGGTGATAATTTCGGAGTCTACAACGATATGTTTTGAAAGTGATAAATATGTGGCATTGTAGTGCTTAATGAAATTGTAGTTCTATTGTTGATCAAAAGGAGCTTACGAAGTCAAATGTTAATATTTAGTAATTTCATGAGTTTTTTTATGTGATTATTTATTTAGCGACGGGTGAAAATGATTCAAGTTGAGTAACCCTTTAATTTTAATGGGTTAGGTGGTGTCACGACATGACTTGTTAGAATAATGTGTTTGACACAAAAACGATACAAACACGATAAACACAACCTGTTTGCCTGTAGGTCTCTTCATATCGTTGATATTTAATCGATCATTTGTATTTAATTTTGATTTGTTCGTCATATGAAAATTAATCTATGATTATTTTATTACATTTCTCAAATTATTTTACATATAAAGATACTTGAAACTAAAGATAGTCAAAGTATCTAGGGTCTAGATCCTCGTCAAATCCTCTTTGTGAGGATTCCGGGGATCCATGAATTGTGTCCGTTTATCGTATATAGTGCGGTCAGAAATCATTTTAAATATTTTTATTAAAAAATAAACATAAACAGTACTTGACAAAAATTGACCGCACGATGTACAATAAACAAACACAATTCACGAATCCCTAGGATCCTCACCAAAAGAATCCAGAGAGGATCCTGTTGGAGTATCTAGAACATCAGATAAAACGTGTAAAAAAAGAATTTTTTTTTAGAGTTACTCTATCTAATCAAAACTAGCAGAGAAAAATTCAATGTTGAATTCAGATGTGAGACTACACTAACCTTGAAGATATTATGGGGTTTGATAATGTTTCAAAATGACATCACATGGAGTGAAGGGGAGTAGATATTTTAGGTTGAATTATCCCACAATCTGCTCTAAGCTTCAATCCTTGAAGAAATCTCCATGCTTTGAGTACAACGATATATTTTACACTAGGAATGGGGGAGTTCGACTAAGTCACACAATGGGCAACTTAATTTAGTATCGAATTCGTTGTCCACGAAATTCGAACTTAAGACCTCTTACTTACATGTGTAAAGGAATACCACCAGACCGTAGTACTAAGTGACCTCGGTCAGTTAACAACAGATCACTCTACAATTGAGCTACTGAGGAACAACGGACTTAGGGCTGGTTTGGTATTGTTGTGTTTTGAAAAAAAATTGCTTCTGCTGTGTTGTGAGAATAATTTCATTTTTGCTGCTTCACGTTTTCAATTTTTTTTCACCTAGAATTGTGAAAATAAGATGTTTTTAAGTGTTTACCAACACCTTTTTGAGCTCAGCTTTTTTTTTTATACCCACTTTTTATAAAAGCACCTAAGTATCAAATTAGTACTTAAAGAAGCCGACTTCTTCCTTCATTCGGAGAAATCATTAGGAATGGAACCAATGGAAAGTCGTATGCAAAAAAGAAGTGCAAAATGGACAAAAACAAAGACTTTGAAAGCAAAAAATATATCATCAGACCGTAGTAGTGAGAGACCCATTCTCCTTCCTTTGTACAACACTGTAGACTAGCATAAGTCTAGAAGGTCAAAGGAAGCCATGAAGTGAAGGGAAGAAAGAAGGAAGGGGAAGGA